GGTCACCAAGGCACTCAATCAGGTACTGGAATTGGATCTCATGATGGTGGTAATCCTCACAGCCAAGAGCCTGAAAGGACCACTGGAGTGGACAGCAGCACACATGCTGGAAATGATCAATCTCTCCCGCAACCTTCTTCCAATGTCAATGAAGGTACTCAAAATGCATTAAGGCGCAGTTCTGCCTTGGGCTTAGTGGGTTCTCCATCTAGTGCATTTGATGCTGCAAAGGATATAATGGAGGCTCTCAGAGGCAAGCACACTAATTTGGCTAGTGAACTTGAGGTAATGGTCATCTTTTTATATTTAATTTTTCCTTAATACCGTCTGCCACTTTCCTCCTTGTCAAGATGACGGTTATGGTGATTAACATTTATTTGTTTAATACTAAAATATTTGTGCTTCTTTATTCCTCTTGCTGTGAGGGATTATGAAGACCATGGCAGGTAATGTCTCTCTCGTATTCTTCTATTAAAGAATTCTCACTCTAGGGATTTTTTTTTTCAATGCATTTCTAAATGTTATTATCCATAGTTTACTTTTCTTTGAGCGAATGGGAGGATGTGTTTATTATTATTTTTTAAAAAAATTTATCATGAGGGATAGGATGATGTGGCAAGGGGATAATAAGTTTTTCTCGTGAGGATTAAAGGATGAGGAATGCTAGCCTCTCCCCTTATCCAAAGATGTCGCGAAAAGGCTTTCCTTAAATCGAATGTTTGGTTTCTTTTTCTTTTCATGAGCTCCTCCTCACATAGTAGGCTCTAGTTTGGTGTATGGTATTCAACAAGTAAACTGTTAAGCTTCGAGTGAGGAGGTAATGGTAACACACAGATTTTAATACTAGAAATCGTACGGTCATGTCATATTAATTCCGAATTCTATATACCTACATTTATTTCGACTTGGCCCTAGTGGATGATGACGAATATAACATATATTTCCTTTTGCAGATTCTACTCACGGAAATTGGTTCGAGGTTTGTTACTTTGCCAGAGGAGAGACTTCTTGCTGTGGTTAATGCATTGCTCCATCGGTGCTACAAGTATCCCACTGCTACAACAGCTGAGGTTCCTCAATCTCTTAAAAAAGAGCTCTCTGGAGTTTGCAAGGCTTGCTTCTCAGCTGATGCGGTTAATAAACATGTTGATTTTGTGCGGGAGTACAAGCAAGATTTTGAGCGTGATCTTGATCCAGAGAGCACTTTCACTTTCCCAGCAACTCTGTCGGAATTGACTGCAAGATTGAAACACTGGAAAAATGTTCTTCAAGGAAATGTTGAGGACAGGTTTCCTGCAGTCTTGAGATTAGAAGATGAAAGCCGGGTGCTGCGTGACTTCCATGTGGTTGATGTGGAGGTACCAGGACAATACTTCACCGATCAGGTATATTTGACGAGGCCTTAAACAAATGTTTAAATCAGTGTTAAGTGCAAGTTATAGTAGAATTCAATAGCTCTTGAAGGTCTTATGCGAGAAACAAAAATTGGAAGCGGGTTTGTTTTTATGTTTAATAATCGATTGAACAGTCTAAGTAGAAGAAACGAACACCTTTGAGGCTGCTGGCGTCTCAGTTTTGTTAATGCATGATGACAAGATTCTGTAACCATTAACAGGAAATTGCACCTGACCATACAGTGAAGTTAGACAGAGTTGGAGCAGACATTCCAATTGTCCGAAGACATGGGAGTAGTTTCAGACGCTTGACTTTAATTGGTTCTGACGGTTCACAGCGTCATTTTATAGTCCAAACTTCCTTGACCCCTAATGCTAGGAGTGATGAGCGCATTTTGCAACTCTTCCGAGTTATGAATCAAATGTTTGATAAGCACAAGGAATCAAGACGCCGCCACTTGTGTATTCATACTCCAATCATAATTCCTGTTTGGTCACAGGTTAGAATCCTTTTTTTATGGGTTTGATTAACTTAAATGCTGGGAATCATCTGACTGACTGCGTCTGCACACAAATTATTAAACTTTAGATGTTGGATATTTTCCTGATTATGGTTTGTATAGGTTCGCATGGTGGAAGATGATTTGATGTATAGCACTTTTCTTGAGGTGTATGAAAATCACTGTGCCAGAAACAACCAAGAGGCAGATCTTCCAATTACATTTTTCAAAGAGCAATTGAATCAAGCCATATCTGGTCAAATATTGCCGGAAGCTGTTGTTGATCTTCGCCTCCAAGCTTTTGGTGCTATAACGAAAGACCTTGTAATCGAGGGCATTTTTTCACAGTATATGTACAAGACATTACTCAGTGGAAATCACATGTGGGCTTTTAAGAAGCAATTCGCCATCCAATTAGCCCTTTCTAGTTTTATGTCTTACATGCTACAAATTGGGGGAAGGTCACCCAACAAGATTTATTTTGCTAAGAACACGGGGAAAATTTTCCAAACAGATTTCCACCCTGCATATGATGCAAATGGTATGATCGAGTTCAATGAACCAGTGCCTTTCAGGTTAACCAGGAACATGCAAACCTTCTTCTCACATTTTGGAGTGGAAGGTTTAATTGTTTCTGCCATGTGTTCTGCTGCACAAGCTGTTGTTTCACCAAAGGTAGTTTTTTTTGGAGTTTCTTTCTTATAGCTGTGTTGTATGATTGTTGGTTAGTGACATGCGATTTTATCAGCAAATTCAGCATTTGTGGTATCAACTTGCTATGTTCTTCCGTGACGAGCTACTTTCATGGTCTTGGCGAAGACCGCTCGGTATGCCTTTAGCATCCATCACAGGTGCTGGTATGAACCCTGCTGACTTCAAGCATAAAGTCTCTACCAATGTTGAGAACGTCATTGACCGGATTAATGGAATAGCACCTCAACATTTCTCCGAGGAAGTAAGCTTTCTAACCTCAACCCCTTATTATTGTTGCCTACCTCCTCTTCTTTTTGGAGTATGATTAGAGTTCACTGTGAGATCCCACATCAACTAGAGAAGGGAACGAGTGTCAATGAGAATGCTGGCCCCAAAGGAGGTGGATTGTGAGATCCCACGTCGATTGGAGAGGGGAATAAAACATTATCTTTATTAAAACATTTTTTATAAAGATGTGAAAACCTCTCCTTAACATACACATCGATTGGAGTGGGGTTGGACCGTTACATATACACTTTCACTTTAACTTAGAACTACAGATCACTTTACTTTCTTATATGAGTAACAAGTCTATGAGATTGGGGGATTTATAGAAAGTCATTTTAGTTTATGATATTGCTTTTTGTCTTTTAATATCTGCAATTGCTCGACCTTCCATACTTTATCCAGGAAGAGAATGTCATGGACCCGCCTCAGTCGGTACAAAGGGGTGTGTCAGAGCTGGTTGATGCTGCATTGCACCCAAAGAATTTGTGCATGATGGACCCGACATGGCATCCCTGGTTTTGATTAGACAATTCACAAATGGGAAACAGGAGTGCAAGGATTCAAATTTGACACTGGTAATTTGGTGTCCGCCTCTAACATATTGTTGTTCATAGCTAATGATGTGAGTCCTTAACGACTACTCATCTTGACCCCATGAATTTGTAGATGATTACCGAGTTGATACGCGAAATCTTTCTACAATTTCCAGTCTTGTTTCCCATGTGTATATAATAAATTGGTAAGGTTTTTGCATATACATATGATGTCAGTTTTCACATCGTTCCAACGCCGAATATTCACTTTTAAAGAAATTGGTAGATAATTTCGTATTTTCTTCTCCTCCATGACATTTTTCTATAATTTTTTTTTATTATCAACAAAATTTTCATATTTCCAAACAACATTGAAATTAGATTTCTAAGTGTCTAATCCAATTGATTGAGTAAAATAAAGTCAAACACTATTGATCTATTAAGATGTTACAACAACATTTGAAGTTAGTTATTCCACCTGACATCCATCTAATGATAAACAATTCATCTCGAAAGTTGATACTCTATCAAATACATATTTAGTAAAAAATAATAATAATAATAAATTTATTTATTAACTAGTTGAAGCTTGGAATAGGCAAAAAGAGACTGCCCATGAAGGAAGAGTTTGTCCTATTTAGTCTTTTCACGTTATGTGACACACGGATTACTTGCAACTTAACCGACACGACATGTCGGTTTCTCACATACAGACATCTTTTGTTCAAGCTTCAAATCCAACGACCATACTATTTTTTTTTTCTTTTTTCTTTCTCTTTTAAAATCTTCTATTTTTAAATTTCCATATTCTAAAATATAGTATTGGGGACAAATTATCCGACAATAAAATATTTGAAAAAAATAACAATACTCCAAACTAATATTTCATTTTCATTTATTTCAATAATTTATCAATTTTAATTGGCATTTTAATCATTTATAAGGTATTAAATTATATTCGAATTATCAATTTGTCCATTAATTTTTCGTGTTATATATTGTATAAAATTGTAACACAACTAGAAAATGTATCAAACAAACTCGAAACTATGATCTCAATAATTTAAAAAAAAAATGAGTTAGACTCTAAATTAATTTTAATAACAAAAAAAAATCTATGAAAATGAAAATACTTATTAGTTTATAAAAAAAAAAAAATCAATATGAATTAATAATTAAATTTATCCAACATATACTCTTGAGCCCTCATAACTTAAATCATGCCGGTCACTTAAGTAGACGCCGAGCCTATAAAATAATATAAAAAGAAAAATGAGGAACAAAAGAGGAGACCAAGTCAAAAAAAAAATAATAAAAAAAAAAAAAAAAAAAAAAAAAAAAAAAAAAAAAAAAAAAAGGCTTTGAGCTTAGGGATTGACCCAACCAAAGAAACATCAAAGCAAGCTCCTGTTGGCTCCTGGTGGGTGATTGGAGCAATTTTCTTATTTTACTCTTTTCACCCACCCCCTTCATTATTTACTTATTTCCCATTTCTTTTTTTTTGTTAATATTTAGAAAAACCCCATTTATCATCTATTATTTATTATGATTATTTAACAACATGGCTTGCTTTGGTGCAAATTTGGTCCCTTTCTCTCCAAGACACTGGGAAAGGAAGGAAGGGGAAGAAAGGGGAGGTTCTGTGAAAATGGGTTCGAAATTTAGGGTTCAAAAAGATTGAAAATCCCTTTGAATTTGTTGGGTTCCTTAACCCTTCTCAGTTTTTACCATTCTTCAAAAAAAAAAAAACAAGAAGGAAAAGGGAGGAAAGGTAGGACGGAAGGAAGGAAGAAGGGAAGAAAGGAAGAGAGATTAATCTCATTGACCATTACCTTCACCTTCCTCCCTCTCCTTCTTCTCTCCTTCCTGCTATCTGCCCTAAACTTTCCTCCTCATTATCCAAGCTTCCCCTTCTTCTTCTTCATCTCTCTCTCACTCATTACGAATATTTATTGGTTTCTTTCCCTGAAAGTTTTTGATATTTCCCCACAAGATTTTGGGAACGGAATAATGGGTGTTTGTTTTTCGGCCAACAAAGTCAGTGGTTCTAATAGCAATACTAATACCAATACCAATACCAATACCGCCGCCGCTAAACGGAGGGCGAGCACCGCCTCCACCCAATGGAGCACAACCGTTACTAAACATGATCCTTCGAGAAATCAAAATCTCAAGAGACCCAATAGTCAGCAACTTAAAATTCAGGAGAAAAACGCTTTGCGGCGGAAGAGTGGGGCGATTCCTTGTGGGAAGCGTACTGATTTTGGGTATCATAAGGATTTTGATGAACGGTACACGATCGGGAAATTGCTCGGACATGGTCAATTTGGTTATACGTATGTTGCGATTGATAAAGCAAATGGGGATCGAGTTGCTGTTAAGAAAATTGAGAAGAAGAAGGTATTGCTTCGTAGAATTTGGCGATGATGTTTGTTTTCATTCCCCTTTTGTTAGTTCTTCGTTTTTGTGAAGTATGGCTTTGATTAATGCTTGCTTATACTCTGCAATTAGGGTTGAATGTTCCCTATAAAATCGTTTCGAAGACGGGTTTGATTCGAAATTGCGAACACGCTAGGTTTAGTTTGGTAATTGAATGATTATTCAGAGTAATGGAACAGGAAAGCAGGAACTTCCTCTAATGGAGGTTTTGAAATTTTCAATTTGGTATCTGAAAAGTTGATGTAGATTCTGCATCTCCCAACATTTATCTGACCGTATAGCGAGGGGAGCCTTCACCCGTTCATCACCATGGCCATAAAGAAAGTAGTTGCAGAATTGCCAGTTTTGCAAGATCAACACTGATGTTGCAGGAAATCGATTCTGGGATCCATTCGAATCGATATGAATTTTGGATAGATCTTCTTTACGCACGAGATTGAGCTGTTCTTAGTTCATAAAGCCTCTGTCTGAATCTAAGAATCATGATGTTCTTTGTCTTTATCTGAGGATCAGACTCTTTTTATCACCCTTTAACGTTCTTTGTTAGTTCAATAGTCCTTCCATAAAGGTGCAGCTGTATGTTTCACTGACTCAGTTTTGAAGAAGAAAGAACCTATTTGTTTCTATTGAAAATTCTTCGTTCTGGCTAATTAGGCAAGATTCAGCGTGCTTTTGCTCGTAATTGTATAGCTAGTTTGTAACATTTTAGAACTGATGGTTAGGAATAGGAGTTCATCTGCAAATGGCTTTTGGGTTTGAAGTGTTTCATTTTCTGTTTTCGGGTAGCGTTTGACAAAGAATCATTTTAATGTTGTTGCAGATGGTTCTTCCCGTCGCCGTTGAGGATGTCAAGAGAGAGGTCAAGATATTGCGTGAACTTACTGGCCACGAGAACGTGGTTCAGTTCCATAATGCATTCGAGGATAACTCATATGTTTATATCGCGATGGAGTAAGCCTTTTCTTTTGGTCGTTCTTTCTTAAAAAGCACTATATTTTCATTGGAGTACTTAACTTCTTGTTCTCTATCTCAGGTTATGTGAAGGTGGCGAATTGTTGGATCGAATCTTGTCCAGGTAAGAAATGTCTAGCTTTGTAACTTTTCATGTGCATTTCAGTCGATGATTTCGCTATTACAACGAGAAAATGAACTCGTTCTTACGTCCTCTCTTTCGTTTTTCCTCCCTTTCCATCGATTGTTTAATTAGCTATCGTATTTAAAGATAGTGCTTGAATCAGGAAGGATAGCCGTTATACCGAGAAAGATGCAGCTGTAGTTGTTAGGCAAATGCTGAAAGTTGCAGCAGAGTGTCATTTACATGGCTTGGTACACAGAGACATGAAACCAGAGGTAAAATATACGATCATTCACGGCGATACTGTTCGTGTCCTTCTTAAACCTACTTCTTACCCGTGCCTTTCCCATATGTAGAACTTCCTTTTCAAGTCAGCCAAAGAGGATTCCCCTCTGAAAGCCACTGATTTTGGCTTGTCGGACTTCATCAAACCCGGTAGGAATTAGAGTCTGATGAGATGTTCAGTATTTGTACATTCCGAAAGGTACTATTACGAAAAGAAAAACGATATCTTCTATGCCTTGTCTTACTCTTGTATGATGTGCAGGGAAGAAATTCCACGACATTGTCGGTAGTGCATATTACGTTGCTCCGGAAGTTCTGAAAAGGAAGTCCGGGCCAGAATCAGATGTCTGGAGTATAGGGGTAATCACGTATATTTTACTTTGCGGGAGGCGCCCTTTCTGGGATAAGACCGAAGATGGCATATTTAAGGAGGTATCGTGCATCTTGTTTCATTCGGAACAACATATACTAGCTTATGGAATTTGCAGTTTTATCTTGTTTTATTTTGGACTTAATTATCTGTGGAACCTTGAGGATAAAGGCATCTAAATTTTCTCCATCAAAATTGAACTTTGTGCCTGTATTTTTCTTATAGGTGTTGCGAAACAAGCCTGATTTTCGCCGAAAGCCTTGGCCGAGCATCAGCGCCAGTGCCAAAGATTTTATAAAGAAGTTGCTCGTAAAGGATCCCCGAGCAAGATTAACTGCTGCTCAGGCCTTATGTAGGTCCCGGAATCCCTTGCGCTAAGCCTATTTCAATTATTTTCTGTCTGTGATTTTTCTGCAGATACAAGTTGATGAGTTTTGCATTTTATTCTTCTCTTCCTTATAAGACATCAAATCATTTGGATTGATTGTTCGATTCTATTTTTTGCTTTCCAGCACATCAATGGGTTAGAGAAGGCGGCGATGCATCGGAGATCCCTATCGATATATCTGTTCTGAATAACATGAGACAATTTGTGAAGTACAGTCGTTTTAAACAATTTGCTCTGAGGGTAAGGCAATGCTTCTTTGTAGGTATCTTTTAAAACCGAAACTAGTCGGTCCCTTCGCATCCATTTCTCCACCTGATGATACTTTATTGTGCAGGCTTTGGCTAGCACACTTTGTGAAGAAGAGCTTGCAGATTTGCGCGATCAGTTCGATGCAATCGACGTGGATAAAAATGGCTTCATCAGCCTTGAGGAAATGAGACATGTACGATAGTAAATTTATTTACACAAACACGAATTACTTTTGTTTTCTCTAACATAATCGATGATCATCTATGTGCAGGCCCTTGCTAAAGATCTCCCATGGAAATTGAAAGAATCTCGTGTTCTCGAAATTCTTCAGGCAGTAAGTATACATTTTGGGACTAAGAGAACTGTTAGCTTTTGGTTATCATTGTTCCACTCGTTCGATGTTTGTTCCCTGTCTCTTCTCGTAATCGATGAATGCAACTTAAGTAGTTCATATGGTTGACGCAGATCGATGTCAATACCGACGGTCTTGTCGATTTCACAGAATTTGTGGCAGCTACGTTACACGTGCATCAATTAGAGGAACACGACTCTGCGAAGTGGCATCAGCGATCACAGGCAGCTTTTGAGAAATTCGACATAGACAAAGATGGATTCATAACTCCAGAGGAATTGAGAATGGTATGTTTTAACTTGTTTCTCCCACTCTTTTCTGGTTTGATGCCACATCCTAGTCTTAAGGTTCCCTCCCTAAGCTGCTGGTTGTTTCGAATGAATTAGTGGCTACCTCTCTTCCTCTTGGGAGGTTGGAAACCATGGTTGTCTTGAAACAATGCCACAGATTGCCTGTAAACATTGTTTTCTTCTGTATACCCTCGGCCTGATGATGGAGTTTGTTGCATCTAATGTAACAGCCCAATCCCACCGCTAGCAGATATTATCTTCTTTGGGCTTTCCTTTTCGGGCTTCCCCTCAAGGTTATTAAAATGTGTCTGCTAGGGAGAGGTTTCCACACCGTTATAAAGAATGTTTTGTTTTCCTCCCTAACCAATGTGAGGTCTCACAATCCACTCCCTTTCACACACCGTTATAAAGAATGTTTTGTTTTCCTCCCTAACCAATGTGAGGTCTCACAATCCACTCCCTTTCAGGGTCCCAGCGTCCTTACTAGCACTCGTTCCTTTCTCCAATCGATGTGGGAACCCCCAATCCACCCTCTTCGGGGCCCAACGTCTTTGCTAGTACATTGCCTGGTGTCCACCTCTCTTCGGAGCTCAACTTCCTCGTTAGCACATTGCCTTGTTTTTGGCTTTGATACTATTTGTAACAACTCAAGCCCACCGCTAGTAGATATTGTCCTCTTTAGGGTTTCCCCTCAAGGTTTTAAAAACACGTCTCCTAGTGAGAGGTTTCCACACTCTTATAAAGAATGTTTCGTTCTTCTCCCCAACCGACATGCTAAGAATTGGATTTTGTGACATGTTACCTTTTGTTAGATTTATTACTTCAATGAAACCGACATGCTACCTTTGACGTCAAATGTCTGGTTTTCAATAAAAGCCGACATTTTAGATGTGATCACTCCAGCACGAGCAGTCTAGATTGTGACATTATCTTCTATTTGACGCAGTGCCCCTTCCTGATCGCTCTGTCTCATGGATTTTTCATCTCGTCTTTGTAATGTTGAAATGTAATCTTCTTGTTTTTTTTTTGCAGCATACAGGCCTAAAAGGTTCCATCAATCCGCTGCTTGAGGAAGCTGATATTGACAAAGATGGTAAAATAAGCTTATCCGAGTTCAGAAGACTTTTGAGAACTGCAAGTATTAGTTCAAGACCTCATACTTAGACTTTCTAGTCCCCAAAATTCGCCTAAGATGTATAGATAAGAAAGCAAAGTTGGGACGATTGGAAAGTCGGGGGGATCAAATATGGCAAATTTCAGTCATCTTTAAGAATTTCTACTTGCTGAGGGACCCCAGGAACTCGCTCGACCATCTGTTCTCCGAAGCTATCAATGCCGAGCTTATACGTGAACAAGTTTTTTTTTTTCTTTCAAGGACTGTGAATACGTCGTGTATAGGTATAGAGTAACTATTATCAAGCAGGTCCAGTTGGTGTGGAATGTATTGTTGTCCTTTGTGTTGCTGGGGATTCTTGGTTGTGCCATGGAAATGGCTTAATTTGATGACAAACTCTTAAAAGAAAGAATTTGATTGGATTGAGTTGTATCATCAGGGGCTTATAACAAAAATAATTTCTAAAACATATTTTATTTTAAATTCACTTTTGAGATTGAAAAAACAAACACAAAATTTTAAAACTAGAATAAAAAGATTATCAAACATCAGACATGAATGGCCTATGTAGAGTCTTATTACAAGCATAACACATGGATAATTATTTACAAGCAAATATTCCATTGAATTACTCCCTAAATGCAGGGTCTGCGCTGGACAAAGTCTGTCAATGTCAAGCCTATAACAATATTATTTCAAAATATGGTAAGCCTCGTTAAATTAGATGTCGATGACAGCCGCAATATCTCGCACCTCATGATTGATACAATAGCCCTAGTTAGGACACATGGTTTACTGAATGAGGAATTACTGCTCATATTTTGAAGAGGGACTTCAAGCTATAGCTAAAGCTCTGAACCTAAATTCCTGAATTCAATATTTGGCTGGACAAGGAAGAAACAACCTTGAATTTAATCCTTTGATGAGGTTAGTAATCTTGAATTCAGTTGTTCTGTTTCGGAATGTCGCCAACGCTGTTAGAGGAGCTATCTTGTAGAACTTGGGACGAAGAAAATCTACTTGAAGAACTACAATCTGTAACACTTTTTTCTTTCCTCTGTGACTGCTTACCTTTCTTACTTGCAGAGGATGCATCCTGAAAAAATATTCATTAATGATCGATCTTACTTGATCTACAAATACTATGTGATGGTTTTAAAAGCAATAAACTCACCTGTTGTGTTGACGATCCAGGCATCTTAAGTTCAAGGTCCGTTGCTACATCATTAGATTCGTCGCACCTTTCCACATTGCTACGCTTAGGATGATCTGATGATTTACTTCTGGAATCTTGTTTGCTAGAGATGTGTGAATTGGAAGCATATTGGGCAGAGGGCTGTTCAATCGGATGGTTGGCAGCAGCAGTATACGGGACAAATGTAGAACAGGGGTTAGGAATAGCACCCGGATTCTGACTTCCAAAGAAGGTGAAGGGCTGCAATGACGGATGCATGGGAATTGGTCCAGGGGGAACGGGAACAGGAACTGGGTATGAATATGGGGGCCCCATGACCACCGAAGGATCCATGGTAGCCCAGGGAAACATGACCCTCAATCTTTGCTGATACTGAGCATTTAGATTTTCAATATCTGACTTTAATGAAGCCTTCTCTTCTCTAAGCTCATTCTTTTCCTGTGTTAACTGTGGAATACTAGATGAGATGAGCACAAAGTGGGTTCTAAACCTTATGAAGTGAAAATTTGCAAAAGAATTAAATATCAACCTCACGTGATTCTTCAGAAAGAGCTTCATAGTCAGCTTTTAATCTATTGACTTCGGCAGTTAAATCCTTCAGCATTTGAATAGTGTCTGTAAGGATGGTAGCCTTGTCATTTTTGGGCCTATCTGGATCTGCAATAAACAATGAATCGCAATGCCGTCACTTTAAGCCAGAAAAAAAAAACCCCGACGTAAGCCAGTCAGAAACAAAATAACACAACCAGAGGAGTCCACAGCATTATGATAAACTATAAGCAAGCCCTACGGCAGTGACATTCTATTAGAAGGCAAGTTCATACATGTATAAGTGATCACTGTACTGCCAATCAGAATATAGACATGTAAAATTAAACTGGTGAGATGAATTCCACAAAGAGGGGATGTTGCCAAGAGAAGGCATATATGAACAAATTGTGCGAAATATGTCCCTAGGAAAAATTGAGAGATATCAAGAACTCGTTCAATTTTGAAAATCAATGCGACTTATCCTTGCACGTAAAATTCATTTGTAATAAGCTGTGTAGTTCTACAGTCAGTATTCTAGGTTCCTAGTTAACAAATATGACCTTACTTAAAGAGGGTCTATTCTATAAGTTGTACAATAGTGTCCTTGAGTTTTAAAGATTACTTAAGAGATCCTACATCGGTTGGAGAGGGGAAAGAAACATTCTTTATAAAGGTGTGGAAACCTCTCCCTAGTAGACTATTTTGAAACCTTGAGGAGAAGCCCGAAAGGGGAAGCCCAAAGAGGACAATATCTGCTAGCAATGGGCTTGGGCTGTTACAAATGGTATCAGAGTCATACACTGGGCGGTGTGCCAGCGAGGACGCTGGACCACTAAGGGGGTGGATTGTGAGATCCCCATCGGTGAGAGGGGGGAACAAATAATTTCTTATAAGGGTGTGAAAACCTATTTCCAGCGGATGCATTTTAAAACCTCAAGGGAAAGCCCGAAAGGGAAAACCTAAAGAAAACAATATTTGCTGGCGGTTAGTTTGGGCTGTTACATTACTAGATAGCAAACCAATATAAAGTGCATCTTCTAAGTTAAAGTGTATGGAGAAATACATAATGATTTTCCTTCTCGGCTGATTATCGTACTGTCTCAATTTATTAAGGACAATAATAAGCCATTCTCGAGTAATTTTAGGGAAGTTTTAGTATAACAAAGAGCACAGGAAATTAAAAGTCATAGACTTCATATAGTATACCTAATGTGTTTCCGAGCTCAAGAAAATGTTCATTCAGCCTGTCTCTCCTCAATTTTTCACGATCTGCCTTCTGAATTTTTCTCACTGCTACAGGATCTTTTACTTCCTCATCTGTTCTTAACCTGAGGAATGCCCAAACGGGAGGATGAAGTGTGAAAACAAGTGAGATGAAAACCATGTTTAAGACTTGTGAAACGTGTTAGAATACTACAACATGAAGAATGAAAGTTGTCCATCAGCAAATGAATTCCTAATATGCTTTCAATTAATGTTCCTTCGATCAGTTCAGGATATCCAAAAGGACCGTCCCTTTCTTCATTTAGATTACAGCCTTCCAAAATGATCCCTTTGTAAAAGTTGAAACAGTCACGTCTATGGATTCACGTAATTCATTGTGCCAGTTCAGTATCACAAGATTTTTTCTATTAACGGAACATTTTTTTTCAACTTCTTTACTCGCTATTTCTTGTTTTGTTTTTATAAACTAAGCATGTTTGGTCACTATTTCCTAGTTTTGTTTTTTTTTTACCTTTATAATAAACACTATCGAATTTTTAGCCAAATTTCAAAACAGCATTACTTTATGAAACAAAGAACAGTGTAAAGGTTGCTCTATCTCGTTCCCTTCCCTACAATTCATACTTCGAAACTCACGAATTGAATCATGGAGCTTCATTCTCAGTAGTACGGTCCAACTCAAAGATACAAATAGCGTCAAAATCAAACACCGTGATTCCTAAGCAACAAGACAACCCAAAGATACGGAACCACTGAAAATTCCGCTTGGCGGATTCAAGAAGACCAATTCAATAAAAACGTATCCTAATCCCAAGGAAGATCGATTATCAGTAATACACAACACAACATGGAAACAAGCATTTGACTTAACTTAAAAACCATCCAAAACTGTTAATTCCAGATTCAAAACATCATACAAGCTTAGTGTGAATCAAATTCCACAGTCCTCACAAACCTGGATTCAGGAAGTTGGTTGTTATGGTGGCGACTCGACGGCAAAGAGAGAGGCTGAGGCGGAAGCGACGAGGAAGGAACTAAATCAGCTGTAACAATAGATTGAGAGAAATCTCCAGTCTTCCACTGCTCCATAGCGATCCCAAAAGTAAACAGAGCGAACCGGCGAGTAAATCTCAGAGTTCAACTCCTCCGATTCTTCCTCCAATGGAGAAAGAGAAAGGGAAATCTGGAGAAAACGAAGGGAAAAGAGCAATCTGGAATGAAAATTCAGCGCCGGAAGAAAGAATTTGAGAGGGAAAGGGAAAGGAAAAAAGGGAAAAGAAATGCGCATACGCTAACATCTCCACTAAGCTAAGACCACAAAATCCAGCACCAAATCGTGCACTCCACGTGCCGCGACCAGGAGGATGCCCCGGGCCCAACCAAGCTGCATCATAAATTTTCGGTGCTTCCGTTGCTATTCATATCCCATACCCCTCCCTTTAATTTCATCATTTTTTATTTTTATTTTATAAAATAATCTCTATTTAAATTGATGTAATATATAGCTCAATTTATTTTTATTTATTTATCTATTTCACTTTTTCTGCATTTTTTATAATAAATTCAAGTTTTTTAAATTTAAAATTGAAATTAATATTTAATAAGAGAAACAATATAAATTAATCTTTTTTCTGAGTAAAATAATATGAGATAATAAAAATTTTAATCGTATCGTTTTTAGATAAGAGAGGTAAAAATGGACCCCGAGAGAGCAAAATCCTCGCCGGGAAAACGCTGCAACTACGACGCCGACCGGCTTTTCCGGTGAGCAACGTCGTTATTCCATCTTCCGGTGGGCGTTTTTGGCCGGCGCTGTTGTAACAGAGTGTTCACCTGGTTCTTCAGGATAAATTCTCCATTTCTGTTCAGGCTGAGGGAGACGGTATGCATTGAAATGAACAAACAACGAATTACATGATGAAGATAGTTACTTACAACGTCAATGGTCTTAGGCCACGCATCGCACAGTATGGTTCACTCCTTAAGTTGCTCGATTCCTTCGATGCCGACATTATCTGCTTTCAGGTCTGCTGTGCTTTCATATTTGATTAATTAGTTTTGGTCTGGTTCAGTATTCGTGATTTCTGTCTTCCATTTAGGAAACGAAATTAAGGAGGCAGGAATTGCGAGCGGATTTAATCATTGCTGATGGTTATGAATCATTCGTTTCATGCACTCGTACCTCTGAGAAAGGTCGAACCGGCTACTCAGGTTAGCGAGTTCTTTGTTGAATCGCCTAAACTAGGTCTACTATAAGTTTGTTGTAACTCGATGTCATTTTGTTTATCTGAATCCTAATCTTGAGAGTTGGTTCACTGTTCAAATTTGCTGTCGTTTGACTATGCCTTTATATCTCTTAGCAACGACATGGAATTTAAATGTCAATCATCTTCAGTCGTCGGCCATCCTAGTGTAAATGAAAGGTTACATATGTCAGCATTAGTTTATTTAGCCGAAGTTTTGTAGGGGTTGCTACGTTTTGCCGAGTTAAGTCAGCATTTTCAAGTAATGAAGTAGCCTTGCCAGTTCGGGCGGAGGAAGGCTTCAGTGGACTTTTAGAAAGTTCGCACAAAGGAGAAGGCACAATGCCTGCAGTTGCAGAAGGGCTTGAGGAATTTTCGAAAGAGGAGCTCCTCAAAGTTGACAGAGAGGGGCGTTGTATTGTCACAGATCATGGTCATTTTGGTAAGTTAAAAGGCTATAGTTCATAAGTTTGTCATCCAAGTGTGACATTATGGTTTTGTTTTTGGTCTAGTAGTCTATACTTGCTGTGTCAAGTGAACCTTACTCTTGTAGAAATGCATGCCAGCCATTTTCTTGTGCCACACTTCTGAAATGCAAACATTCGGAGTTCGTTTCTCTCGCTCTACATTTCTTTTTTAAATTCATAACTTGATGGAATTTGTTTGGTTTCTATTGATTAGTTCTCTTCAATATTTATGGACCTCGAGCTCAAAGTGATGATACAGAAAGGGTTCTATTTAAGACAAACTTTTACAATATACTACAGGTGATTATATTTTTGAACCCTACCGTGAATATATGATCATTATATAATTTTCAGGTAGTATGGATTTACAATAAGTTATCATTTGACTAATTTTGGATAATTCCTTTGTAGAAAAGATGGGAGCATCTTCTGCGTCAAGGAAAAAGGATATTTGTTGTTGGTGATCTTAATATTGCACCCACCTCTATGGATCGTTGTGATGCAGGACCAGATTTTGAGAATAATGAGTAAGCATGTTATCTGACCTTCTAAATGTTAGTGGCCTTATGCTCTTGCCTAATTCTATTGCTGTCTTGCTCTCAACCACTATAATTTGGTTTGAATTTTATTGGGGGACATATATGATTTTTCTTATAGGTTTCGGAGATGGATGAGATCTTTACTGGTGAGATGTGGTGGTCATTTCACTGACATTTTCAGAGCGAAACATCCCGATCGGTAGGGTTTTGTGGATTAGAAGTTTCTGATTTGCTCTATTCTGTTGGAATATGTCTATTGCCATTGATAAAACAAAAATCATCGATACTTTCTGGCTATGTCTATTTGTGGTATTAGCTAATAAGATGGAATTGTTGTTTGATGATGCTAACCCACCCACCAGTACATGCCTTTTGAATTAGTGACATGAGATACAATTATGCTATTATCATCGTTGCTCAAGTACCACTGGCAGTCATTTTAATTTTGGATATAACACTTCTACCTCCTTTTTATCACTATGGTCTGTCTTAGCCTTGTTTCTCAGCTTATAGACAGACTAGAATAATATATTTCTCTGTGTGTAGATGATTTGACCAATTCACTTGCAATCAACTCTAGTAGCTCTATTGTTTTGTTTTTGCAGAAAAGATGCATATACATGTTGGTCTCAAAGTACAGGCGCCGAAGTATTCAATTATGGGACAAGGATTGACCATATTTTGTGTGCTGGGCCATGCTTACATCCGGACAGCAACTTTCCAGGCCATGATATTGTGAATTGCCATGTTATAGAATGTGACATACTGTCACAGTATAAACGCTGGAAAGATGGAAATTCATTTAGGTACAAAAATCAAATTGGATGTCAAGGTCTATTTTTCATAAATTATTAAATTGATTATGAAGCTATGGTATTATATGTACTCACATATTTCAGCTATTGGATTTTTCATTTTGATGCTTGACCCTGAATTTCTTCTGAGCATCAATTATTTGGTTGTATTTATAGTGGAAGAAGGTATTTTTGCTTAAAGCTTTCTCCAAAGCCATTCTCCATATGAATTATTATGTGTTCCTAATCCTGCTATAACATCAAATACTAAAAGGATTTTTATAATATTGTGAAAAGTTATGCTGTTGTCATCAACATTACCATTGCGAATATCAATTTAAACTAGTTCAAGATATAATGGAGTTCAACGCACCAAATTCAACCAAGAAGCTTGGATGTGTTAGGAGGTGGACAATACAGAACAAGAACTAGGGGTCGAATAAAGTCTAGTGGAATTCCATTCCATATTGAGTTAGGTTTATATTTCTTCAAGTACAGTTGCTACAAGAATTCAGATTAGAACAAAGTTTTGTTAGCTTTTAAGCAGAATATGACTAGGCATATGACTCAAGTCCAAGATCCTAACTAGATTCCCAAGGAATTGTAGATAATTGGACATTTCTCAATTTTTCTCGGTGTTATTTTGTTTTTTTGTTTCTTTCTTTCTTTTTCTTTCTTTTTTTCTTTTTTTTTTTTTTTTTTTTTTTTTTTTTTTTTTTTTTTTTTTTTTTTTTTTTTTTTTTTTTTTTTTTTTTTTGTTTTGTTTTGTTTGAATGATACTAATACCTTATGATTGCCTTTTGATCATTTTTCCATTTCAGTTGAACTGTGGAAAGTTAAGTATCGCCTTTTGTCACGGTGAAGAACAATGACAATGTCATAAAACCAAGTGCTCACTGTTGCTTGACGCAAAACAGCTCTTAGTGCTTTGTAGTTGGATAACATAAATTATTTAGAGTTTCTTCAAAATGAATATTAAAGAATATCCAATTACTGGTTATGAAGTAATACACACTGTCTATCATATTTTCTCATCCCTGTGGAGGGTCTCTAATATCACTTTGTTATATAGGAGGAAAGGAGAGCAGACCGTTAAACTAGAAGGTTCTGATCATGCACCCGTTTATGCAAGTCTACTGGAAATCCCTGATACTCCTCAACATAGTACTCCATCTTTATCTGCAAGATACAATCCCAAGATTCACGGGCTTCAGCAAACGCTTGGTAAGGAGATATTTCCTCGTTTTTGCTTGGTCGCCCCATTCAGAATTAACAATATTCTTATGCTTATGATGGGTGTAGGAATTGTGTTTGCTCTCGACTGCACTTTTTTCTCTGATGCATCACATTTACATCTTGAATGTGTTCTGATCATATTTTTATCATCCGATAAATGTGGCTCATATATGTAATTTTGTTGATTTTTTTTTTTTTTTTTCCCCAAAAGGCAATATGGAAAATTTCAAAATGGACAAGTGGTTTACAGTCCTACGATATTAGAAAATCCATCCCTGTAGAAGTGTGAACGTAGAAGAATGCATGTTACTGAATGTATCTATAAGTCCTCGTCTATTTCTTTTAAATTGTTGAGGAAATGCCATTCTCAACTCCAAAATTCAACGTAGGGCTCGGATTTGATAGTGTTAATTCTTACTTTGAGGCTGTATCAATTGTTTTTGGAAGCATTAGTTTCATTTCATGGCACTGCCAACGTCTCAGCATAACTGAATCACATGTTTTAATTGGAAGTCAGATTTGTCAGCTGTTTTGTTGCTTCTTTTTATATTCTTCTCTTGAGTCTAATGTGACCATGAACACATGCAGTATCTATGCTACTGAAAAGACAAGCTGCTGAAGGTTCAGCAACATGCAAGATATCAAATTCATTTTCACGTGGGAACATCGTCTTAGGGAATTGTTCCCAGGGGCTCAATGGATCATTTGATAATGGTGATTTATCAGGCCTTCTTCCTGATGAATCATGTTCCTCGACAAACATAGATACTGAAGATTCTCTATTAAAAACAGAAGAGAGTTCTGGTGGAGACTATTCTGAGGAAGCTCCATGCAACACCTTAATTACGCACGA